TATTCATGATTGAACAAAACGTTTGGCAGGTACTGTATGACAAAGTATGTTTAATGAACAAGAGAAATGCGAAAATTGGTTCGGGATAGGGAGAAATAGGGGTCCTTGTAAGAAAACTTTAGATTTATTTGTCGATTTTAATATTTAAGGAATGTGTGTCCGAATAATTTAGTTTTAGTTGCTTTATGTATTACGTTCTATTAATTTTGGACCGCCTTGTATAATACTGTACACGCGAATATAATAAATTTTCCGTTGAGTGAAATACGACAGTATCTGTGTGCATCTACACAAATATACATATGCATGTATTGGTGTGTGAATGTGGGCGATTCAACGAAAATCCAATATCTGCCATTCCGATGCATTTGAAGCGAATGCAGTCGGCCCTCGTTGTGTCGGGGGATGATTTCGTCGGATTACCGGGCGACTAAAAATCGCATCACAACCCCTCATATTAAACTTTTGATTTTACGTCTGTTAAACGCAATGTTATGTTCAAGCAATGATATGTTCAATTCATCCATTTCACGCGAGAAATCAAAGTAAAAATAAATCGAATTGCCATAATTACTATTTGTTTAAAATGACGTTTGAACTTGTACATTGTATTAATTAAAAACTATGAAATACAAAAAAGAAAATACTACGGTAAACGCCATCTGTAGTACGAATCCCGGCGTAGCTAACCCCTCAACGTGACAGGCACGTTACCATAATCGAATAAAATAATTCGAAGTGGTCCGTATTCTGTCGAAACTGCCAGAGGCGGATCGCGATTTTCAATCTTTTTGGATCTCATCAGAACACAGACCAACTTTTACTTGTTGTCTTAACAGCTGTCTGCGACGCGCTGATGAGATCCAAAAAGATTGAAAATCGGGATCCGCCTCTGGCATTTTCGACAGAATACGGACCACTTCGAATTATTTTATTCGATTATGGTAACGTGCCTATCACGTTGACGTTAGCTACGCTGAGATTCGTTTTCAGCAAGTAGATATCCATATATTTAAATGGACCTTGTTGGAGCATACGTAATCCTAAAATGTAGCATCGTACTACAGATGGCGTTTACCGCGCCATTTGTGGTATTTTCTAAAACGCGCTGTTTTGACAGCAGGTAAAAGTTGGTCTGTGTTCTATCGGAGCTGTCTACGACGCGCTGATGAGATCCAAAAAGATCGAAATCGCGATCCGTGTCTGGCAATTTCGACAGAATATGGACCACTTCGAATTATTTTATATGAAATCCAACGTCGAAATTGTTGTGTGCGAAGGATTAGCAATAGTTAATGTGCTTCAGCAATAAGAAGAAAATGTTCTCTCCGAGAAGAAAATATGAGTACAGAAGTAATAGCTCAGGTTTAGAGGTTGCTACAAAAGCTAATGTGTCGCAGTGAACGTTAAAAAGATTTCGTTGAGAAAAGCTTTCTTCTGTTTCGTGTTTTTTTCTCTTTAGCTACGATGAATATGAAAAAAAGCAAAAAAGATGCGAGCGTATTTCGTTCATCGCGCCCAGACTGAACGGACAAGGTCAAGGTCAATTGTGAAACTTTTTCTATTGTCTGGATCAGGATTGGAGGATCTGAAGGTGATAATGAACTTGAAAATTAATGATTCCGACAAAAGAAAGTCACCTTCAGCATCTTCAGAAATTGGAGGAAGTTAAAATCTGTAGTATCAGGGCGATTAATATTGATTTTGTTAAAATGCAGGTCGAACATTAAGAATTATTTAAGATTTGATTAAAACTTAAGTTCATTGAAAGTCTATACCATGAAGACCAGAGGTGTGATTTATTTGAAATATTTACATTTAAAATGTAAACACAAAATAAAAAATACCTTTTTTTATCTTGCATTTAAATACTTCTTTGAGAAAAGCATTTCGTATTTTATTTAGTTTAGTTTAAGTTTTGCTAGTGTCACCGATCAAACATTTCATAAAATGATAAACCAAAGTTGCTCACATTGACTTTTGAAGGTATTACTATTTTTTTATTTCCACTACCTTTTCTGTAATGTATCTTCCCATTTTTCTCATCATTTCTGTCATCCCCTCTTCATTGTTCGCCATCAATACTATATCATCCACGTACTGTTCATATTTTGTTCTTTCCTATGACTACTCCTCCCATTTGAATATTCCTCATTTTATTTTCTAGATATGCAAAAGCTAGATTGAAAAGAGCTGTACTTAAGGGACATCCTTGTCGCACTCCGTTAATAATCGTGCTAATTTTTTCAGAAATTTCTTCATTGATTCTCACTTTAAATGATGTTGCTTCGTATATTTCTTCTATTTTTTTCTTTAACTTCATATTTATCCCTTTATCTTCCATTATACTCCATATTTTCTTTCTGTTTATCCTGACAAAGGCTCCCTTCATATCAGCAAGGAATAGGCACATGATGATATAGTGCAAACAGCACTATTAGTCTAGAAAAACTGCAATATTTAAAAAATGAGAAAATGCCTGAAAGGTTTCCTTAAAAAATATTTTATAATTAAGTAAATGTAGAAAATTACTTAAATAGGTACTCAAAATAATATTTATTTGAAAATAGGTATTTTGCATTTAAAATACAAAAGGAAAATCTATTTTGTATTTTACATTTGATTTGAAATAACAAAACAAAAAAGTATTTGCATTTTGTATTAAAATACTTTTAAAAAACCACTTTGCACATATCTAATAAAGACTGCAGATAAGATACATACATGACCTTAAAATTGGTCTTACTATTGCTCATCATCATCATCATCATCAACTGAAAAACCCTTTAAATTGCATGTTTGATCGTGTAATGCGCTTCGGGGTCCTGTACAAATTTATTTAGCGCGTCAAGCTCACACATGTATGTACATTTCCCCGATGAGGTCGGCGCTTGCTAATTAGATAGTCAGTGACCAAACGAGCGCCGAATACGACAAAATCCGAAAGCAATTTATCTGGTGTGGAGTGGAAAGAATTGGCGAAGGGCGAAAGAAGAGGGTAGCAAGCAGTTTTCGGGGGATACCGTCATCACCAACAGCATTAGCAGCAGCAGTAGCAGTGATATGTACGTTTGCGAGTCTGGGCAAGCGCGTCCGTGTTTGGTTCGCCCGACGTTGACGACCGACGGCGACGCTCCGGACGCGTCCTCACGCCGTTGCCGCAGACGTATGTGCGATTAGTTTGTCGGAAGCGTCGTTCGTTCGAAGACGCGTCTTCGCTAGGATCGCGCCGTCCGTCGCAAGTAACGCGTCGTCCGTCGAGTTGGTTGTGTTTCGTTTATTTCAACGAGTATGATGCCTTCGTTGGAGTACCGTAATTAATTAATTAATTATCGATGAGTGATTAACGGAGAGTCTTTTTCTTCTTCTTCTTATAATTTCTCTCTCTCTCTTGTCCTTCTACTTTCGAAAAGGGTAAGACTACGACAAATGGTTTGTTTGTTTGTTATTGTTAGATAAAGTAATTAACCTTGAATAGAGCGATTCATCAGTTAAACGATATTAACAACGAATATAATAATTAACGATGACATCACATTCATTAACTAATAAGTTTGATAAAAGAATGTTATCATTATTGTAGGATTGAAAAGTTCATGCTTCGCTTTTAGTTTCATTTCTGGAAATTGCCAAACCATTTTTCTAATTTCTTGCAGATTAGTATCATTTAATTACAAATTAATACCAATTTTGTATGCATCATAGGGCCTTTGTATCACAATGGCGTACGACATATTTTGTTATACCAATATCTAAATATTGTACCATTGACTAGATTTTTCCATTTCTTTTTCCATACCATTTCTCTTCAAGATTTTGCTGACTTCATTGTCCATGGTCTTCCTCTTTTTCTTTCTGATTATTCCAATTTTCTGTGCTTATCTCTATCTATCTATTCTACCAATTTGTTTGAATCACCTCAACTGGATTTGTTCTATACTAGACAAATTCCTAGTTCCTGAAAATATCCACACTTCTTTTTAGTGACCCCTTGTACTCCTCTGAGTAATTGCTTGTAATTTGCTTAATGCCAGCTCCAAATTATTGTCACAAGAACTGTAGGAAATTGGCTAAAAAATGAAATTGAAAATGAAAATTTGCTTAATACAAGGCTTTTCTTTTGAAAAATTGAGCGTAGTTAGAGTCAAATAAATGGGAAAGCAGCGGTACTCTTTCCATCATTTGGCTTTTCTTCCTTTTCTAAGAAATTTTAAATGTTCTCGGAAGAATTTCATATGAAAACTCGAATTACCACGTAATGAAATGTGTACGACCGCAGAAAAATAAAAAAACAGAGAGAAAAGGCGGAAAAAAAGATCATTTCATTAGATAAGCGAATTCCATGTTTTGTTTCAATTTCGAGCTTTTTGTTGCGCCCACGATCTAATTTACAATAGGCGGGGGTAAACCGAGATGGTTATTATTTGTATATCCTCTATGAACGTTCTTCGCCGAGAGAGGCTTTTTATTGATGAAAACAAATAATTCGACTTTAAGTATCTGTTTTGTATTATATTTTCTTTTTATCGGTTCAATATGCATACCTATTTACATAACTGTTTATTTAATGATAGTTTACTAAATTTAACTTTAAATTTTAAGTAACTGATTGATAACAAACAAAACGAAATCTCCTAAGTCCATTTAGGCGAATTTCCGTATTGACCAAAGTGAAAGAACTGTTAACGTAAGAATTAAGGAACATTTATACAGTATTAAATAAGTGGACAGAAAGCGAGCTTCGCCAAAAACTGCACCTCTTTTAATCATAATTTAGATCAAAACAGTGTTGTAGTCCTTCATACATAGTTGTGTAAATAAAAGCCTTTTATTCGAAAGGTTTAAAAGTTGAATTAAGCTTTAATTCAATCTCGTTAATTGTTACTATAAGTAGAGCTATGTCGGTTTAACCCTTAGTTTTAACCCTTTAATAATGATGGTCGCAAAGATAAATTTTTGGTATGTTTCACTGTGTTAATAATTTCTTTTTTTCTTTACAGATTTAGAAGTCCATATAGAAAAGTTCTTCGCTGGTGCCCTTTGTATTAGTGAAAAGACTTAATATTAATTCTCGGTTGTTTCAATACACTCCTAGTAACGCGGGTTATGATTTGTTTTTTATCTAGTGATAAATAGGTAAATGTAAGATGTGATACTTTTGGACTCGATTTTCTGTAGTGCAGTTGCGATAGTGTAGGGTTACGAATGAAACAGCAATGATACTTGACACGATATGAAAACCCCGATTCCTGCATGGATTAGCGCTGCCTTAGTTACATTCTTGCTTGTTTCAACTCTCGGTAAGTTAGTAAATTATTACATGTTTTTTTACTGCCGAATTTCACTCAAATATAATTTCAATGCAACATATTAATTAGACTGGCAAATTTACAAAATATTTTATTGGTTTATTTGGAATCATCTTCATCTGTCGACTTATATATGTTAATGTTTTGTTTAAAACTTCCTCTAACTGTTTCTAATGAAGTTTTTGTAAAGTTATGCTTCAAAATATAGTAGCTAAACCAATAGGCCATGATCATAATTAACTACAATATTTATATGTAACCGCCTACACATAATTTTAGCACAACAACTTTGTAACAGGCAGCTAACCACTTCAATACGAATATCCTTTGTTTTACTGTATATCTATTAAGTATTTCTGGCAGCAAAAACAGGAGATAAATTTCAGACGCATTTTGCATATCTATTGTCTCCCAAAATAACATTTTACTTCTCCAAACCTAGCCTAGTAAACGTTTTAAAATTGTATTACATTACCTATAATTAGTAAACGAACATGACAACAACTTCCTCCTGTTCAGTGTTACAAATTTTATTTCTAATGAATTTTGAAATGTGTGAATATATTATCTTTTAAAACATCATAAGTAACATCAGTTTAGTCACCGGAAACAGATAAATCGTTTTTCATACTGAGTACACAATAAAAAGTATTCTATTTTACGTTAAAATAATAAATCATTTTGTATATATTTACATTTAATTTTAAAGAAACGTTCATGGACTCAAAAAGGTTAAGGAATTATGTACGAAATCCTGCGTTTTTGTCTTGTATATGTATATAGAAATTCCTGTTCCACATATTTGCATTTCCTTGAAGGAAAAAGAAAAACCATCGACTATATTATTAGGGTCTCTTTTCTTGAAAAAGTGACGTCGTGCTGATTTTGTTTTCAAAATGTCAATGTTGTTTCAAACAAGCAAACAGACATTAATAAAAGTAAGTCAAAATTCACGGAAGCAAAATAATTTTCCTTCGTTTTTTGGCCTTCTTCGTCTTTCGGAAGTCCTGGAGGGGAAGACTCATTCAAATACATCCGTTCTAGTTTGCTTTAGGCATCTAGCACGAGAAACAAAATCACCAGAGTTCTTGAACATGGTATTCGACTGAAAATTTGTTAGGGCATCTCCTATTATGATATATTTCAGAATGTTGTTATAAATCGTAAGGAATTGGATCAAAACGGTAATCGAAGAAAATAATTGAAATCTCGCTGAATGTTTCGTTATTTTATTGTAGCTTCTTCGGCAACTCCTTCAATCTCTTCCTCCCGTAAAAACATTTTTGAAACCTGCTTATGGTTAGTATGTGTAAAGAGCAATAAGCACTTAAAGAGAGAAGTTGAGCATCAATGTGGAGATGTACCTAAATATGTATTAGGAAGGGAGTCAGATAAGGATTCACACTATCACCGATATACTTTTTAATCTGTATATGGAAGACTCAATAAAATCATTAAAAATAGAACAACCTTAGAGATAGATATACAGTATGCAAAGGAAGAAAGAGTAGGGAAAGGTAGGAGACAAAAAATTAGAAGAAGTGACTCATCTTCAGTATCTAGGAAGTGAGATATCTCAGGATGGAAGGAGCAGTAGAGATATAAAACAGAGAATAGGTTTTAAAAAAGTTACAAGGAGACAAAAAATTAGAAGAAGTGACTCATTTTCGGTATCTAGGAAGTGAGATATCTCAATATGGAAGGAGCAGTAGAGATATAAAACAGAGAATAGGTTTTAAAAAAGTTACAACGAAACGAAGGGTTGGAATGGGTTACATAAGAAGCTACAATAAATAGGCGAAATATTCAACAAAATTTCGATTGTTTTCTTCAATAATTTTTTTTGGCTCAATTCCCTACGATTTGTACCAAAATTCTAAAATTGCACCATGGACATGAACCATACGGTATTATGATACATTATTCAGTTGGGATATTTTATATTACACGTTAATTTACGAAAGCAATGAGATACATTAATCGAATAGATACGTTTTCGTGCGGTCTTATTTCATCCGATACGTAGAGGCGCTTGTTGTCGACATGGTGAACAGTGAGATCGGCATTCAAGGGTCAATTAAAGCACATTGTTGTCGCTAACAAATATTACGTGTACAATGCCCCGATGCTTACAATATTACACGTAATTGTGCCGCTTATTCCCGAAAAGCCACTTGACTTGTTAAGTGTTGGATCAGAACGTTAAGCAAGGGAAGTTTGTTTTAAATTACCGCGAAAAACAATCCGCTAGACGTTTAGAAGCGAAGATTAATAACGGAAAATTGCTTATGGGTATTAAGTAGTATCGCTAAAGTTTTTGAAAAGTTTTTAAAATATATAAGCATTTTACTCGTTTTGAAACTTTAGAATATTATACGATACAATTTTCATAGGTGTACTAATAGAGGGCTGAAGTTCTCTCAAAGTTTCTTTTTCCTACAATTCTTGCGGGCATTATTTATGTTACATTAAAATATGAAATATACTGGTCTCATGTTGTTTAAACAAATTGAAACATGTTGACGACATGCGTGCAAAATTTAGTGCAGGTAATGGTAGCTTTATTAATTCAGCACCCTTAGCCGCTTGAGTATGATATTGGGGGTGTATAATGAATGACTTTGGAACTATATTGGACGCACGCTGCACATCTCGTGTTCTGCGAATAGAGAGTAACCCTTGGAAACTTCAAAAGTGATTGTTGAATATTAACTGGGAACTTTGTAAAATTGAAACTCGAGGTGGATCTCCAGTAAATCAAAAGGGAACGCTGGAGCACATATTTGCTCAGACAGGGATTGTTATCCAAAGTAAAGCGCCGAGATCATGCAGATATTAAGAGGCGATGCTGTAATTAATCCTGAGTTCTTGACGGTCCTTATGGTTTAGTATTTCGGTTGTCGTCAAGTATACTAAACGAACAATATTAAAAAAATATGCATATAAAGTAAATGATAGTGATAGCAGTTTAATGGCAATACTGACGTCTTTTCTTTTAAATTCTCGGGTTACAGCTGCCATGTTATCATCACATCATAAGGTCGTCAGTCCTAAGACTGGTTGGACACGCACCTCAACTCTTTCCTATCCTGAGCTAATGTTCGAATTTTCCTAAAACTAGAACAACCCACAGTAATGTAGGTCTACCTCTACCCCTCCTAACTCCTGTTTCTACCTCTAATATGTCTCTGACTAGACCTTCATGCCTAGGAAGGTGTCCTACCAACTTATCTTGCGTATTTCAAATCAACTTCCATATGGTCCTCTGTTCTCCAATTCTTTCTAATACCTCCTCATTTCTAACCTTCTCTATTCACGGTATCCTCTTCATTCGCCGGTAACACCACATTATATAATTTGACCCTGATCCATCATAAGGTCGTCAGTCCTATGACTGGTTGGACACGCACCTCCACTCTTTCCTATCCTGAGCTAATGTTCGAATTTTCCTAAAACTAGAACAACCCACATCCTTAACTGTTTGCGAACAGTAATGTAGGTCTACCTCTACCCCTCCTAACTCCTGTTTCTACCTCTAATATGTCTCTGACTAGACCTTCATGCCTAGGAAGGTGTCCTACCAACTTATCTTGCGTATTTCAAATCAACTTCCATATGGTCCTCTGTTCTCCAATTCTTTCTAATACCTCCTCATTTCTAACCTTCTCTATTCACGGTATCCTCTTCATTCGCCGGTAACACCACATTATATAGTTTGACCCTGATCCATCATAAGGTCGTCAGTCCTATGACTGGTTGGACACGCACCTCCACTCTTTCCTATCCTGAGCTAATGTTCGAATTTTCCTAAAACTAGAACAACCCACATCCTTAACTGTTTGCGAACAGTAATGTAGGTCTACCTCTACCCCTCCTTAACTCCTGTTTCTACCTCTAATATGTCTCTGACTAAATCTTCATGCCTGAGAAGACGTCCTACCAACCTATGTCGCCTATTTCTTATTGACTTCCATAGAGTCCTCTGTTCTCCTATTCATTCTAATATCTCTTCATTTCTAAAGTTCTCTGTCCATGGTATCCTCATCATTCGCCTGTACCACCACATTTCGAACGAATGGATTAGGTAATTTAACTTGAAACTTTTGAAACGTGTCTTTTTGAATTTTTGATACGGCAGCACAATGCGAAATAGGAATTGCCGCTGCTATTTTTTGCCTTGCTCTCGCACATGTATACGTAGACGTGGGATGAAATGAACAAAAGAGACTCTCACAATCCAAGTGACACTTGATGGTAAAGTGCTATGAACAAAGCATCTGCTATCGAGCGTTCTAAAAATACAGCGTAGGTAGTTCGCAAAAATGTATATGTGATCGTATGCATTTGAACCTACAGACAATGGTATTTTCAGGGCTCAAGAACCGTGCGGGTTTCCTTTTACACATTATATCATTGCGAAAAGTGCCCTTTTAATTATCAGGTTAAAATTTCGGGTTCTGTGAGAGACTATACCGACTTTCGTAGCAGTTCTCCATATTTTTGACGTGACAACGTCTTATAATTCGATGGAGCCGGCTGCACGCACGAAAAAACATGACTCATGCATCGTTACCTCGCTCTGAGGCGTTCCATTTAAGGCTTGAAATGCAAGCGAGAACGCGGAACGAGCGACAAAGAGGCACAATCGGCCTCCGCGTTCGGCAGCGTTCGACATCTGTCTCTCTCCTACTTGAGTGAGCGATGCGTCCGCGTGGACAGCTGCTATACAATAATACATTTCCATTTACGTCCTTCTCTATATCCATACAAAATATCTATCAAACAAATAAAATTAAAATTTTCTTTTGAAAAATGAAACCATTCTATCAGTATTTTCTTATGACGTTGTCACGTTCAACTATCGTCAGTAAACCGACTTTACAGACAACCGATTTTTTTTGTTTGGGTCAATTGTTTTTGGAGTTGATTTTAGAGATGTACCAAATAGTGATTTTGCCGGGTACCAAATGGCCGGGTACCCGGTAAAGCCA